AATTTGGATTTTTCAGTGATCATTGCTTGGTTAGTAAATTTGGATTTGTCAGTGATCATCGTTAAGCAAGCGAATTTTGAATCGTTAGTAATCATAGCTGAATAAGGGAATTCAGATTTGTTCAACCAAAAAGAATCATTTTCGGCTAGCGATTATTATATTTGGAACTTGTAATTTTCATGAAATTTCTTGATTAGATATCAATTCTCATAAGTAGGATGTTGTCTTTGTTGAAAAAATCAAATATTTATAATAAATTATACGCAAANAGTGATCATCGTTAAGCAAGCGAATTTTGAATCGTTAGTAATCATAGCTGAATAAGGGAATTCAGATTTGTTCAACCAAAAAGAATCATTTTCGGCTAGCGATTATTATATTTGGAACTTGTAATTTTCATGAAATTTCTTGATTAGATATCAATTCTCATAAGTAGGATGTTGTCTTTGTTGAAAAAATCAAATATTTATAATAAATTATACGCAAAAAAATCAAAAAATTGATTTTTTTAAATCGTCGTTAACCGAAAAAATCATCGTTAACTGAGGTAATTTTTTCTCCTGACCCATCGTCGTTAACCGAAAATTTCGTTAACCGAGGTGTTCGTTAACCGAGGTACCACTGTATTACATCATTTGAAGCAAATTCAAGTGAAGAAAAAAAAAAGAAAAATCGATTAATCAATTGCAAGGAAAACAATCGAAATTTACTATCGATTGTAACGAACGAACGAACAAAAGTTTCGAAATTTTCGTATATCATGTCGATAAAATATCGATTGGCCAAAATAATCGAACAATAACAATGATAATGAATCTTTCTATATCATCGATAATGTATGAATTTCAATAAAAATAAAATTTCCATATTTTTTTTACAAATTTCCTATCATAATCAAGTTGAAAGTTTTCTCTTTCTCTTCCCCGCAATAACAATATTAATTTGTCAATCAAAGAATGGGGACAGAATAATAAATTTTCATCCCGAAAAAAATCAATTCACACTTGAAAGATGTCCACAAATACCACATTGAACTTCATCAACTTTGAAAATATAAAGAAACAAGAGAAAAAAACAATAGATATCATTCTCATCATCATCATCATCATCATTAATGTCAAGTATCACTCCACTTATCATGTAATTTCATGTAAGATGTGCAACTTTTTTTTCGGAGGGGAACAAAAACTAACTATAAAAAAACAATTTACAATTATTTTTTTCAATGCAAAAACAAGAGCTACATAATTCTCGTCTATAGAATGCGGAACTTTTTCTCCCGACCATCATTATTATCATCATCCTTTTTCATTCAAAAGTTGAATGTCCAGCAGCAGCAAACAAGATCACAAGCATCATCATATAACCCATCATATGATCTAAGTTATTACTAATGTTATTCCCTTACCTCTTTGGTTTCATTTCACAACAACAACAACAACAACGGTTTTAGAAAAAGTCTATTTTTAAAAATATTCGTACAGAAAAGAAAAGATCCTTGACCTAATCACAATTTGATCATGATGATGATACGGGTAATGATGATTTGAAATCCAGAAAAAAACTTAATCTAAATATTGTTGAATATTTTTTAGGAGAAAGAATTTCCAATGAAACAAACAAAACAAAAAATCAATTTAAATCGCTAGCGGAACTATTTCAATTTTTGTTTTGTTATCCGGGCTATTTTTTCAAATTGAAAATTATCCGAATGAATGAAGAAGACGAAAAAAAACAAAATTTGAATCGAATCAATTTTAAATATTTTGATTTGATTTTTTATTTTCATTGCATTTCCGTTATTGTTTGAATGAAAAAAAATTTCATTCAATTTAGCTTTCCAATGAAAAAAATAAAAAAATAAATTATTGATGAAGAAAGAAATGCAATGGCAAACTATACAATTCAATCAAACACAAACACACACACACACACACACCAAATACAAACAAAAATCAAATGATGAGAAAACAGAAATTGGGCCAATTTAATATCGATGATGATGATGATGATGATGAAAACTCAAGCCACCCACTCATTCAATCAACAACAATTTGATTTTATTTTCAAATCACACAGCCATTTACACTTAATAATAATAATAAAGTAAATTTTGAACGGGAAGCAAAAAAAACCGGGAAAAAAATGTTTCAAAAGAAAAGAAAATCAACAACAACAAACAAACATTTGAGATTATAGAATCAAATTTGATTTGATTTGGTCAAACAACAACAACAACAACAATTGGATGTGTGAATACCAAAATCTTTTGACATTTTTGTTGTTGTTTGTTGAAATGATTTGGATCAAGAAAACAAAACTTCCGGTCAATTGTTGAATGAATGAAAAGAATGATAATTTGGAATTAAATCATCATCAACATACTTAAAAACTACTTACATAATCATTGATTGTGATTTGGATTTTTTCCACATACGACATTGATAAATAATTGCCAATATACCGACAATAACAATTATAATGGCCATAATAATTAAACTGATTGCAAATGAATCAAATTCTTTTGATAAATCCATAAGAATTTCTTTACAAATATTTATAATTATTTTATAATAATAATAATTATTATTATTTTCTAATTGTTGTTGATCATCATCATCGATTTTATTTGAGATTATTATTGATTTATTATTAATCAATGATGGTAATAATAATGATAATGATTGTTCACCATTATCAATATCATTCATAATGGTTGTTGTATCGAATATTGTTGTTGTTGTTGTTATTGTATCGTATATTTCAGTTGTTGTTGATATTATGAAATCATCATTATTATCATCGAATGATGATCGATCCAAATCAATTATTGCCATTTTTTTCAGGTTGCTTCTTCTCGGGAAAAAAATTCACAATTTGATGTTTGATGTTTGGTTTTTCAACATGCACATGTAGAATATATTGATTTGAACAACTAAAAATTTAAAATTTAAAAATTTTGACGGTTTTTTTTGTTTGCGTTTTCAAATTTTTCGAATCTAAACAACAACAACAACAATGTTGTTGTTTGCTGGGATTTTCAAACGAAAAGACCACAGAAACCTGTCCTGTATGTGTGATTTCAATTACAAAGTTGAAAAGAGATTTGTTTTTTTCTTCTGTTGTTGATCAACAATTATACACCGAGGGTTGTTTTTCGAGTTGTCGATAATTTTTTTTTGGTCGGTTGAAGTTGATAAGGAGTAGTGGACCGAATGGCTACTTTCTTTTTTCTTTTTTTGTTTGTCCAGCCGTGGAATCAAGAAGAAAAAAATCAGCAACAAAATTTATTCATTCATTTTCACCTGTAATCTTTTTTTGTTTGTAGGAGAGAACAGAAAAAGGTAAAAGTTGATGAACACAGATTGATTTCAAATGATCGAAAATGACCATTTTGGATGACCATCACATTCCAAACTACCCACCATCACCATTATACCACCAATATCGTTGTTAATTTCACACACACACACACACAAGCACACCTGAAGAATGGGAGACTAGGAGAGAAAGATACAGGTTATAAGGTCGAATTATGGAGGGTCATTGATTGAATTGAAAATTTTTTTTTTTGTTGAAAAATTTTGTTCATTTCGAAACAGGTTTTCTTTTCTTTTTTCACATTTGTATGAGGGGTATTTCTTTTCTTTCTCTTTTGATGACCTTAACTTGAATTTATTTTTCAAAAGAAAATTTCTATTTCTTCATACCTGAATCTATGATGTCCTTGAAACGATAACAAAACAAAAATTTTGTTCAAAAAAAAATCAATTTGACGATCAAACAGCAAACGAAAATTTAAATTTCACTTTTTTTCACTTGTATCGACACTTGATGATGATTCAAAAATGGTTCAAATGTTTTTTCTTCTTTATCATTCCATTTGATCCATTGTCATATTTGTGAATAGATAATATTTTCTCTTTGATAAACCATACGCCATAGACATGCATGGCCTCTCTCTCTCTCTCTCTCTTGCCTGATCTAGCCTTTCTTTTTTTTCAAAAGAATTAAAGAAGAGAGAAATAAATGCAAAAAAACCAAAAACATCAACCCAAAGAATCACCAATCAAAACGATGATTGAAAATTCCAAAAATCAATAACACAATCAACAAGTATGATTAGAAAATATCTTTTGAAATCAAAATTAAACAACAACGAAAAACAAGAAAAAGACACACTTTTTATAATGTTGAAATTAGGCCATTATTATGATGGTAAATGGTGGTTATTATAATAAAATTTTACATCATCAACATAGAGATCATGAATATATTTTGTCGATCCAGGAAACATTGTTACAATTTGTACAAAAATTTTTTTTTCAAATAAAACTAGCAAAAAAGAAAGAAAGAAAAATACACATATGCTTATGGGAAATGTTATTTATTTAATTCGTTCATTCAATCAAATATTAACAAAATGTGAACAATTTAAATCAAATGTTATTTGTCATCTTCAACGCAATGGAGAAAACATAATTAAATGAAAATTGAATATGCCAGTATATGTGTGTGTGGGAGTGTGTGATGTATTTTAATGGGATAACAATTTCCTGATGAAAACAAAATGATTATGATGATGATTATAATTGTTCATCATCACACATAATCACACATTATATAATGATGATAATTGTAATCATGTCAACATTAACATTTGATTAACATTAGTAAGTTATTGTTGTCATTAGTTTGGTTGATTTGATTTGATTTCTGTTTCTGTATCACAGTAACGGTAAATCCAACAACAGACAAATAGACAAACACACCTTGTATTTTTGTTCATTTCGCAAGTAATTAGTATAGGGTGTGTGAAACAAAACCAACAAAATCATTTCCGTGGTTTTATTGTTGTGGTTTTTTCATGTTCAATTAACCATCGTTTCATTGGATCTTCTTCACCAGCATATTTACCAATTATTCCAGATTTTTTTATGATACGATGACATGGTATCATTATTATTAATGGATTATTTTTCATCACTGTACCAATGGCTCTAGCACTATGATTATTATTGATTACCATTTTTGATAGTTCACTATATGATGAACATTGTCCATATTGAATATTTTTCAATAATTCTAAATATGTTTTACGTTTAAAATTAGTTAGTTGAATTTTTCGACATAATAATTTGTTATTTTTCATCAAATCATATAGATCCAAATCTGGTTGGCCATAATTATTATCGAAATATTGTCGAAACCAATTAAAAGCTTGAATCAATGATTTGGGATATGATTTATTATCAATATTTTCTGTATCATTTAAATGATAAATTTTTTGATTGAAAGATTGTTCGATACGTTTAATTGTATGTAAACCATTTGTACATGATGTAATTTCAAGTAAACATATCGGTGTTGATAAATTAATTCTGATCATTTTACAATCCATTATCGTTATTTGATCGTAAACTGTTTGAACAAAACAAAAAGAATCAAACAATTCATGCAGATGATTAAAATTCCTTGTTTTTGTTGTTGTTATCACTGATAACAGATGGCAGCATGGTGAATTTTAAAATAAAAATATTCAATATTCATTCGATATTCAACTTTGGAAATTCATTTCTTTGAAATTTAATAAAAATAAATAGACACCTTGTTTTTATTATTAGAAATTAAAAAATGAATGATTTTTATTTTAACAATTGAAAAAAAGTTTCAATTAATAAAAAAATATTTATTCTTGTATCGGTTGTGATCGTACCGGGTATATTGATCAGTGCCACTTAATAATCGATAAATATCGTATCTGAATATCAGAACAATGATTTGATTATGATAAAAATCAAACAACAATTATTAATTAATAAAAACAATGATTCGCAAAGAAAAAAAAACCGAATTGAATTCGAATATCAATATTTTTTATTTCAATAACAATTTACATATGGGGTATTATATGAAGTTTTTTATGAAAATCCTCATCCATATTATGAATTGAAGATGAAAATTCAATTTTTCGTTTTTCATGTTCAAGCAACAATTCGTTTGGTTGTTCTATGTCACCAATATAAGTACCAAAACTTCCATCATCTATAATACGATGGCACGGTATCATTATCAATAATGGATTAAATCTCATTATTGCACGAACGTACCGGGTATATTCAACAGTACAGCTCATTAAACGCGAAATTTCACTATATATGAATAGAATCAGATTATGCGAATTCTATGATGATGATGATTTGGAAGAACAAAAATTTGGCCATGAAATTAGTTAGAAAATGTCCTGTACATTTTTTTTTTTTGTTGTTGTTTGATTTATTCTCGCGAGATATCTGATATTTGATTTGACAATAATCATCGAATGATAATTTTTGTTATTGAGATCATTTTTTTAAATGTTTCTCGAGGTCATCTTGGTTGTAATTTTGGTTTTTTCCCCAAAAAAACAAAACACAAAAGAAAAAAATTTGAAATTTTTGTATTTTAATTTGAAAATTATTTTATTTTTCTAAATATGATTTTGAATTTTTCGTTGAATAGAATTTAAAAAAAATTTTTAATTATTCGAGACGTAATGATTTGATAAAATCTCAATTTTTTTTCGTTCGTTCTTCATTAACGTTTCTTTTTAAATATGACAGTGTTTGTTTTTTTTCAAAGTTATCAATTTGATTGATTTGATTTGATTCGTGGTTTGTTTTTCTTCTTTCTTCTTTTTTTTGTTTTTTTTTTGTTGTTGGTTGTTATTAAAGGAGTATATAAAAACATCTTTCCAAAACATTTTCCGAATCACAAATCAAAATCGTTACATCATTTTTTTATGCTGCCTGTTTCTATTTCCAAACATCAACAATTGATTTTGAATTGAAAAATTTGAAAAAATGAAATTCATTACCGCTTTCGTATTTGCTTTTGTTGCCATTAAAACGGTAACCGGCCATGGTTATGGATCATCATTTCAAGGAATTGGCTCTAGCTATTCGCCAATGTCTTATGGTCATGGCTCTTCAGAAATGTCATCTGGTTATGGCTATTCACCAATGTCTTACGGTCACGGATATTCAGGAATGTCCTCTGGTTATGGCTACTCACCAATGTCTTATGGCCACGGTTATTCATCAAAGTCATTAGGCTCTGACTATTCACCGATGTCTTACGGCCACGGTTATTCAGGAATGTCTTCTGGTTATGGCCGTGGTTATTCATCAAAGTCATTCGGTTCTAGCTATTCACCGATGTCTTATGGTCATGGCTCTTCAGGAATGTCATCTGGTTATGGCTACTCACCAATGTCTTATGGTCATGGTAATTCTTGGGGTTACTAAAAAATTAATCAAAAAACTGCCAGTTTTTTTTGTTGAATTTCTTTTTTCTTTTTCTTTTTTGTGTTACTTTTTATCCCATTTANCTATTCACCGATGTCTTATGGTCATGGCTCTTCAGGAATGTCATCTGGTTATGGCTACTCACCAATGTCTTATGGTCATGGTAATTCTTGGGGTTACTAAAAAATTAATCAAAAAACTGCCAGTTTTTTTTGTTGAATTTCTTTTTTCTTTTTCTTTTTTGTGTTACTTTTTATCCCATTTATCTATTTCATGCAATAATTGAAAGATTTTATTCATTTAAAATTTTATTTGTGCGTTGAAACAATATGAATTGGAAAAATAAAATAAAATTTTAAATTCGAAAGTTGTCTTTGAATTGAATTTTTTCAACAAAAAAAAATTGATGTAGAAAATAAAAATTCAACAAAAAATTCATTGATAATTATCAATGAAATAATTATATCAAGGTCAAATGTTTATGTAATACAATGTAAGACAATGTTGTCAATGTTGATCAAGGTTTTTTTACAAACACATACGCACAACCACCTGGCAACCTGTATATGATAAGAATCAAATTCTCAAAGATTCTTGGAAATAAAAAAAATCAAAAGAATCGAAAATTCATTTAATGTTATTTAAGATTGGTATCATTGATAAGAGAATGATAGAAAGAAACCTTTTCATTCAAAATAATGATCATTAATTTATTGACGATGTTGTTGTTGTTGTTTTCGCAAACCAAAAAAATCAAAAATACAGTGTTATGAGATTTTGATCTGATTATATAATGATGATGATGATGTCATCAACAACTAGCCGCCGATCTAGATTTTTAATGTTCGGTGGGTTTTTTTCTCCTTTGTGTCTGTGTGAATTTAATGATTCAAGTTTTGTTTTGCCTTGAAAAAAAATTAATTTTTTCAGAAGAGGACCTTGTTTACATTATAGAATCATTCGATTCAAATGAATTTTCGGCTGTCCTGTTGTTAAGCTATTATTTTCTATTGATATCATTCTGAATATGGTAGAGAAATTCAAGTTTTTTTTTCACTTCAGTTCAATATCGATCAAATATCTTGATCATATTTGTTGCTAACCATAACTTATTCTTGTCATTATAATCGTTGTTGTTGTTGCTGTTTTTCTTGTCAATAATGATGATGATGATGACGGTGATAATGGGAGAGAAAATTCACATAAAAAGCACGATGGCCAACACAATCCAATTGAATTTTGTTTGTTTGTTGTTTTTATCAAGAATTTTTTCTGGAAAAATTTTTCATTTTTTTTCTATTTCATTATGAAATTTATAATTATTTTGGCCACATTTTTAGTGGCTGTTAATGGTGATCATCATCATCAACA